ACAGCGGGAGCGTCCACAGGCAGGAGGCGCCAGAGCGGCTCCAGAAAGCTCCGAGCCTCGAGGATGACTGCCCTCATCGATTCCTCGAAGCTCGGCCCCCCTGGGCAAAAAGGGCCCGACGCCATGGCTCCCGCGGCTGGCTGGACAGTTCCAGTGGAGGCCGGTCCAGAGGAAGAGCCTGCCACAAGGAGCCCGACCCTGGGACCCCAGGACGTCCATGGACTTTTTGGCGTGGGAGCGTCGCGCGCTCTCCACGGCAGAACCATCGAAGCCCCAGAAACCCAGGGCACTCTGGTGGCGAGCATGGTGTTTCGTGGCACGGGCCCCCTCTGTAGGGGCTCAACTCGCAGGAGGTACGACTGGGGACGCCCATCCTCGAGTGGGTGCGCCCAGATCCCAGATCGATCCCTGGGGGGGGATCTCCGAGGAGGAGGAGGAGGAGGAGGAGGAGGAGGAGGAGGAGGAGGAGGAGGAGGAGGAGGGAGGAGGAGGGGAGGAGGGGGATGAGGGAGGAGGAAGCAGGAGGAATGGGAGGACGAGGAGCAGGAGGGAGGAGGAGTACAGTGGGGGCCCCGAGCTTCTCATCCTGACGATTTCGGGTATGCCAGCCACCCGACGGGACGATGCTGTTCAATCCGCGCGGGCCCCATGCGCCTCGACCCCCTCCTGCAGCCGTGCTCTTCTTGACCCTGACCTCTCGACGTGGAACGCGGGGCGCGAGCGGGGCACCGCGCCCGCGGGCGCGGGGAGAACCAACGCCTGGACGATCACCCAGGGCAGCGAAGGCTTCAGCCCCCGACCCTCGCCCCACGAGAGATGGTCGCGGGGATCGCGGGATCCTGGGAACGCCCCCAACAGTTCCTATGATCTGGACGGACAAACACGGGGCACCATCAGAGACCCGACGTGAAAAACGTGTGGGTCAAAATCCCGCGACGTTGCGCAGAGGTCCCGCGACATCCCGAGCCCCGCATCGTGTCACCGCGGAGCTTCCGGTGCGCGGATGCGGGACCACCGTCGACCCTCTCAACACCATCGCCAACGTTTTCCACCATCCCTGTTCTGGTGCCGTGAGCTCCCAGATTGTTGCGTCGGGCGTCCACGCAGAGATCAGAGTCCGCGACAGTAGCGCTGCGTTTGCGCAAGGACTCGGCAAGACACTCCGGTGCTGTGCTGGCGTAAGCGCTATCGCCACTTTCGCTCACGCGTCCGTACCCATTCCGGCCCCGACGACGCAGTCGCCGCTGACGCTTGCTTAGAAACCAAGGCGCACTCGAGCCAAACAGCGCCAGCTCGAGCCAATGGCTACGGAATCCAGCTCTCCGTTCCTTTCAAATTCCCGGTGGGGGGTCAAAGCATCGAAAACACATCACATCTCCTGTATGATTCAGACAGGGGGGGAACTCATATTGCTCCTACTTGTTCAGATGTGATAAATGGCGCGCTCGGACCGTGCGGCGGTGATGGCTGCCATCGAAGAGACCCGTCCTTCAAAATCGTACATCGGTGGGAACTCGTGGGGGCCTCCCATACCATATTGCCGGCTCCTGCAAATCGAGTCCAGGACCCAGTCTTGAGGGCCCCTGGGGGCCGCCCCCTACCCCCCCCCCCCGGAGGCGGAAGATAAAGCAAAAACACCCGGCACCGAACAGATCAACCTGCCCGAGGCCTGGAAGGGGCGAGCCTCAGAACTCACCCCCCTGGACCGCTCCTGGTGTGCGCTTTTGAAGGGCAACGATAGGGGGGGACTGGCATAGGGGGGGATGCATCGACCTGGAATCGGGGATACATCGCCAATAGAGCGGCGATAGGCCCCCGACAGTGAATCCGCACCTCCCTGTGCAGGTTGGGGCCACCTGCCCCTTATCGGCGACCAACGGGCGATTGGGGGACGATGCATCCCCCCCCTGTGCTTATCCCCCCTATCGTTGCCCCCGAGCTTTGGCCAACAGTTCGAGGGCAATCCAGCCATGCCGACGGGGAGTTCCACGGACCCCCCCCAACAACACCGACAAGAAGCAGTACAAAAACCCTTCCTCGAACCCCAATCGGAAGGCCTCCACAATTTGAAGGCGAGAGAGAAGTCGCCCGCTTATACTCGAACCCTGTGGCCCAAGATGCCCCCCAGACCCCCCGAAATCAATATTGATGGCGTGGCGACGGGGGGGGCGTGAGTGGACAGAAATATTCGAACCCAGAGCACCGCCTTTACCGAGATCAACATTGATGTCGGGGGCGTGGGGGTGATTTAGAATCTCCCTCAAATGTGTAAGGGTTCGAATAGATTGTCCATGTACGGTCCTCTCGAGCCTCGAGCCTCGAATCGGGAGCGAGAGAACTCGCCCGCAACGATCCGGGGGCCTCCGAGAGGGGGGGGGGTCGCAGATCAGGGCCCGCGAGGCACGTGCGCGGCCAAGCGGGGGAGGGGGCAAAGGGGCGTCTTGAGGTCAGAAGAATCCTGTGAGAGATCATGGCCCCGGCCAGGATATCACACCCTCCGAATCTCCACCCCCCCTTTCTGACGCCCACGAACGACCTCTCTCCCCCTCCTCGTCCTCCTCGTTCTCCTTGATCTCCTCGTCCTTCTCCTCCTCCTCCTCCTCCTCCTCCTCCTCCTCCTGCTCCACCTCCTCCTCCTCCTCCTCCTGCTCCACCTCCTCCTCCTCCCTCCTCCTCCTCCTCTCCTCCTCCTCCTCCTCCTTCTCCTCCTCCTCCTCCTCCTCCTCCTTCTCCTCCTCCTCCTCGTCCTCCTCCTCCTCCTTCTCCTCCTCCTCCTCCTCCTCGGTCGAAAGGCGGAACGGTCGAAACCCGTGCGCGGTACCGAGGCGAGGCAGGGCAGGAAGGAGACCCACGGCGACGGAGGCGCCCTAGAAAACCCCTGGGGCCACGAGGGGGGGCACACCCGCAGCCCAAGCACCCCTCCAAGAGGGGAGGCACCGAGGAGGAAGAAGGAACCTCCTCCTCCTCCTCCTCCCCCTCCTCCTCCTCCACCCCTTCAAGAGGGGAGGCACCGAGGAGGAAGAAGGAAGGCGAGACGAGGAGAGCCCTGCAGAGGGGGCTGCGTGGGGCAGCAGGACGCCCAGAGCACGAAGAGCCCCGAAAGAGCCAGCCCAGGGCACGAGGCCCACAAGGGGCCCAGCCGAGGCCCAAGAAGCAAGGTTTCAAGCCAGGCCCAGCAACCTGTCGGACCACGAACCAGGCCTCGTGCAGCGCCCGCCGGGTTCTCACAGTTCGCCACGCCGCGCACCTCTCATCGGGCATCCCATATCCCGCGGCAGGTGAAAAGGATACCTGCTGTGCGGCAAAATGTTCCTTGCTCGCAACAGATCAACCCACTGTCGTACATTGATCTTTGCTTGCGCCAGTTTTTCTGGCAGCTTGCACGCGGGCGTGGCGATGGTTGACGATGAATTCTGCGTATGCCCCCGTGCAGTGGACAGAGCGGCGATGGCTTCGGCCTCCATGACCTTGAGCCGCGCGAGCGCTGGAAGAAGACGTTTCACCTGCAGCACGGTCCATGCCACGCCAACATCGGAGCGCCACCATGTCGGACAAAAGTGTAACCGTGTTCTCTGCAGCCTGGGCGCGCTCTGAGCCAGGCATCCCGTCGTTCACATGGCTTGTGCAGAGCCTGGAGGCTCCGTCTGGAACTGAAGCCCGTACTGGGTTCTGGCCTTGTGGACAGCAACGGCGAGCAGAAGTTCAGGCGCAGTCCGATGGAGAGAACCCGTTGGAACACAAGCGAGGCCTGCCGAGGTACTGCCCGTGCCCTCCTCCAGCGCAAGGTTATCCTCGGACTCATGCATCAGGTCGTCGTCGTCGTCGTCGTCGTCGTCGTCGTCGTCGTCGTCGTCGTCGTCGTCGTCGTTGCTGACCGCGCCAACTGACACACGAAGTTATACCGGAGCAAGGCGAGGCCCGCAGGCCGCTTGTCTTGGCCCCCCTCCGGCCTGGAGTCGTCCTCGGACCCGCTGGCCTCGGACCCACAATGCTGAGTCGGAGCGTGCCGCCGAGGCTGTCGATAGGGGAACGAAGAATGGCATAAACATAAAAACTCGGAGGTCCGCGCGGATTTCTCGGATTCGCGCTGGACCCCCCTGGCGGCGCCTCCGGCGCCGCCCCTGGCGCGCTCCGCGCACCAGGGAGCGGGGTCCAGTGCCGATCCGAAAAATCTGCGCGGACCTCCGAATTTTTTTGTTTATATCATTCTTCATTCCCCTAGTCGATGCTGCCGATCTGGCTCTGAAATTCCACTACCGTGTCCGACTCCTGCACCTCGGCCCTGGCCATGGCGCCCCTCGTGTTGACAAGGTGGCGCTGGTGCTGCCGATGGGGAGTCGAGCCAGAGGCAAACTGCACCGCAATGGTCTGAGTGCACGTGGCCTCGATCAACAGTGACTGCCAAATCTGGCCATCGCTCGGACGTCCATTTCCTGTGTTTTTTTCGGTTTCGTGCGTAATCTTTTACGCTAAATGATCAAGGATGCTCCTCGATAGTCCTCGCCGAAGGAAAAATGCACACGTCCGAGCGATGCCAAGAAGTTGGTGTCTTGGGGTGTTTTGGGTGATGACCGAGAGTAGAGAACGAGACCGTTGAGGCACTGCCGCGGGACTGGCCTATGCTATGGCTCGCCCTTACTCGGCTGCGCACCCGGCCGTGATGTGCGCAGGCGCTCCTTCCGCGATGAGATGCCGCGCCCAGGCAGCACGACCACGAACAGCCATTGCGAGCCAAAATGTTCCTGCAGGCGCGATTTCAGCGCAGATGCGCTGTGAAAGCCTCGCAAACAAGCACGTGCCTGAGCGACGGCTGGCCAGAGCCAGCGCAGCTTTCCTCCACCCTCCTCCTCCTCCTCCTCCTCCTCCTCCTCCTCCTCCTCCTCCTCCTCCTCCTCATCCTCACCCGGGTCTTCCTCCTCCTCCTCTTCTTTCTCCTCCTCCTCCTCCTCCGCCTCATCCTCCCTCTTTATCCTCTCTCCCGACGGGGCCGAGCCCCAGGCCGTTGCCGCCGGAGGTCCGTCTCGAAGTGGGCCAGGAGCTCCGTGGCCACCTGGGCGGCCAAGGCCGCGGGGCGTTCTGGGTCGTCGTCGTCGTCGTCGTCGTCGTCGTCGTCGTCGTCGTCGTCGGCCTCATCGTTCGACCGAGCTGTGGGCTCTGGGGATCCCCCCTCTTGTTCCCTGGCTACCTACCAGGCCACCCCAAACTAGCCCGAAGACCCAAACTTCGGGTTGGGGGGGGTATGGGTTCCACGTCTGTTGTTCAATGTACCCCGACGCCCCCACAACTGGAAACTGGCCAAACAACGCCCTATGACACGCTAGCCGTAGCGTAGTGTCACAGCGTAGTGTCACGCCCAGGTGTCCCCAACACTACGCTATGATACTGCGCTAACCGTAGCGTGGTGTCATAGCGTAGTGTCACACCAAAGTGTCTCCAACACTACGCTATGACACTACGCTAACCGCAACGCAGAATCCTCTGTCATGGAGCAGAATCCAGCGAGGTAAAACCTTAAGGACAAGCAAAGCCAAACAACAACAAACAAACTCTTCCTGTTCCCTCCGCCTCAACCGTGGCGTAGTGTCATAGCGTAGTGTCACGCCCAGGTGCCCCCAACACTACGCTATGACACTACGCTAACGGTATCGTAGTGTCCTCTCTCACGGAGCAGAGTCTAGCAACACCCTAAGGAAACGCAGGCGGAACAAAACAGCTCCTTCTCCCCCGGCTCAGCCGTTGCGTAGTGTCATAGCGTAGTATCACGCCCAAGTGCCCCCGACACTACGCTATGACACTACGCTAACGGCATCGTAGTGTGCTCCCTCACGGAGCAGAGTCTAGCAACACCCCAAGGAACAGAACACGAACAAAACAGCTATTTCTTCTCCCCCCGCTCAGCCGCAACGTAGTGTCATGGCGTAGTGTCACGCCCAAGTGTTCCCAACAGCAACGCTATGACACTACGCGAACGGTATCGTAGTGTCCTCTCTCACGGAGCAGAGTCAAGCAAAACCCTCAGGACAGACAAACGAGCAAACAAACAAAAGCTATTCCTATCCGCCACCTCCACCGTAGCGTAGTGTCATAGCGTGTTGTCACGCCCAGGTGCCCCCAACACTACGCTATGACTGACACTACGCTAATGGTATCATAGTGTCCTCTCGCACGGAGCAGAGCCAAGCAACACCTTACGGACAAGCAAACAAAAAAGACGATTCCTTCTCCCCCGCCTCCACCGTAGCGTAGTGTCATAGCGTAGTGTCACGCCCAGGTGCCCCCAACACTACGCTATGACACTACGCTAACGGTATCGTAGTGTCGTCTCTCACGGAGCAGAGTCAGGCAAAACCCTAAGGAAAAGCAAGCGAACAAAAAAACGACTCCTTATCCCCCGCCTCAGCCGTTGCGTAGTGTCATAGCGTAGTGTCACGCCCAGGTGCCCCGAACACTACGCTGTAACACCATGCTAACCGTAGCGTAGTGTCACACCCAGGTGTCTCCAACACTACAATATGACACTGCACTAAGTTCATTTTCTTCACGGTAAGAGTTCAAATTCACGGTTAAGATTATCTCTTGGGAACTGGAGGGCAGATTGGAGCCTTCGGGCTTGGTTAAGGTTGCTTGGTGGGTGGTGGTCCCCCTCTCTCGGGGGCGCGCAAACATGGATTAGCGATCCATGGATTTGGCGCGCGGCCCCCAGATCCACATATCCCCCAAAGTGCGGCAGGTGCCGCCTCGTGCGGCGGCGGGAATCCGCGATTTCCCACGGAACGGGGCCCGTCGCCAATCCACGCCCCCCTGACCCATGTTTGCGATCGCCTGGCCCTCGCCCTGTTGACTACCTACCAGACCACCCCAACCCAACCCGAAGACCCGAATTTCGGGTTGGGGGGGTAAGGGTTCCACGTGTGTTTTTTCGATGCTTCCCGACCCCCCCCCCCCACTGGAAAGCGAGGGTAAATCTGAGCCTTCGGGCTGGGTTGGGGTGGCTTGGTGGGTGGTGACCTGTGCCTCTTCCTCCCCCCCCCTCTCCTTCCCAAGCTCCTCTCGAGGAGCAGCGGGCGCGCACGACCCCCCCCCCCTTACGGAACCGCGCCGCGGCCAGCCAGGCAGCGCCGCTCGGCCAAGGGGTCCTGAAGAGCGAGCCGGCCGGGAGAAATAGGCAGGCTCGCACGCCCCAGAGGCCGCCCGCCCGAGGGGGAGTCGCCTCCACACGCGGGGCCTCCTCGAGGAGGAGGTCTGCAGTGGGGGCCCGACCACAGGGCACCGCCCACAGGAAGCCCAGCCCTGGGACCCCAGGACGTGCATGGATTTTTCTTGGTGCGGGAGCGTCGCGCGCTCTCCGTGACAAAAAGCCACCGAAGCCCAAGAGACCCTGGGCACCCTGGCAAGCGGGGTGTGTCTTGGCATGGGCCTCCACTGTAGGGGGCGGTGTGCCTCCATCTGATCCTCTTATCGTTTTTGTCTTCTGCTCTCGCGCTCTCTCTTTCTCTCTCTCTCTCTCTCGAGGCAGTCGCATTATGTTGCTCCCCGCGTACTTAAGGGCCATATCCCAGAAATAATTTCGAGCCCACAGAAAAGTATCGAACCAGTGTCCAAGGAATATCGCCTCCCGGGGCCCGACACATGAAAACCCTCCAGATCCGGTACCTCCTTGGTGCTCGAGATTCTTGCTGGCGATGAAGGCTAAAACCTACTGCATGCCAGAGCACCGAAAACGAGAACGGTCAACTTATCCTTGACGAGTCTCGTCCGGGCACCATGAGGTCGATTCAGCCTGGGATCCCTTCCTGTCCTTTCGGGAGCGGCCAAGAGGGGGGTGTCCAAGAGGGGGCGGTGCAAACCATGACTGGCGGCATGTGCGCGGCCCAGCCAGCGGGGGGGCCAGGGACGTACTGAAACAGGAGGAGGCGCCACGAGATCTGCGGAGAGATCATGGCCCGCGCCATGATGTCCCCCCCCCCTAGTCATCACCCCCTTCTTTGCAGCCCCCGAAGGGCCCTGGCCATGCCCGAGAGACGGATCAGGCTCCTCCTCCTCCTCCTCCTCCTCCTCCGCCTCCTCCTCCTCCGCCTCCTTCTCCTCCGCCTCCTTCTCCTCCTTCTCCTCCGCCTCCTCCTCCTCCGCCTCCTCCTCCTCCTCCTCGTCCCCCTCCCCGCCGGCACGCGCTGGCCGCCCCGGGAGCCCAAGCCTCGTGCGCCTCCGCCTGGCACCACCGCATCACCCCGCTGTGCAGCAGGTAGCGCGAGAACCTCACGGGGCCGGTCGAGGGGGTCGGTGCCGCGGGCCGGCTCTCTGGTTAGGGGGCCACATGCGAGCCCTACCCCTACCCCCCACGATTTCTGAGGGGGAGGGTGGGGTGGGGTTCACTTCGCTCGGGAGCTCCCGAATGGAGTGAACCCCACCCTCCCCCTCAGAAATCGTGGGGGGTAGGGGTAGGGTTCGCATGTGGCCCCCTATTGGTGTGCCCCGTCTCTCTCTCTCTCTCTCCAGGCGGGCCGCTGACCGCTACTTCGCCCCGCAGGACGGCGACAGCGACGACGCCGGCGCACGGCGACGGCGACGCCGCCGACGACGCTGCCGACGCTGGCGACGACGACGCCGGCGGCGACGACGGCGACGCCTGCGAATACATCGCCGAGCTCGGACGACGGCGACGCCGGCGAGGACGACGGGGAGCGCCCCGGGGCGCGGACGGGGCGCAGACCCTGTTCGGCGGGTCCTGCAGCGAGGCTGCCCGCAGCTGCGCCTCGGATGGCGGGGGGAGGTTTGGCGGCGGGCCCGGTGACGACGACAGCGGATCAGGAGGAGGAGGAAGAGGAGGAGGAGGAGGAGGAGGAGGAGGAGGAGGAGGAGGAGGAGGAGGAGGAGGAGGAGGAGGATAGGCGCGAGGAGGAGGAGGAGGAGGAGGAGGAGGAGGAGGAGGAGGAGGAGAGGATAGGAGGAGGAGGAGGAGGAGGCGGATAGGAGCGCTCGAGGAAGAGCGTGGAGGGAGCGCGAGGAAGCACGACGGGGAGCTGCAGCGCTCGGGGCGACACCCCTCGCGTCCAGCGCTCGCACGGCGCGGAGAGCCAGCTCCGGAAGAGAGGGGGCGGAGGAGGCGGAGGAGGAGCGGCCGTGCCTCCTCCGCCCTCCTCCTCTTCCTCCTCCTCCCCCTTCTCCTCCTCCTCCTCCTCCCCTCCTCCTCCTCCTCCTCCCTACTCCCCCTCCTCCTCCTCCTCCTCCTCCTCCTCCCCTCCTCCTCCCTCCCTCCCTCCCTCCCTCCCTCCCTCCCTCCCTCCCTCCCTCCCTCCCTCCCTCCCTCCCTCCCGCCCTCCTCCTCCTCCTCCTCCTCTTCCTCCTCCTCCTCCTCCTCTTCCTCCTCGAGGACGAGGAGGAGGAGCGGCCGTGCCTCCCTCCGTCCACAGCGCCTATCCGGTCGACATGCGGAGAAGGCCAGGTCAGGCCAGGCAGGTCCGCGCAAGCTCAACGATTTGTTTTGTTGTAGGGCCCCTCTGGGACCTCTAGAGGTCTCGGTCGGCGACATGACACCACCCTCCCGTGGCAGCGACCAGCGATGATCGCCACCGACGGCAGAGCCACTTGGCGAGCAACCGAGCGCAAGCGCTACAGTACAAGCAAAAAGCCTCCGCGCAAGCTCAACGATGAGAAGACAACCGTTGGGGGCATGAAGCGCGGTGCGGCCAGCAGGAGGACGAGAAGGGCCAGATGATCAGAAGGAGGAGGAGGAGGAGGAGGAGGAGGAGGAGGAGGAGGAGGAGGAGGTGAAGCGCGGTGCGGCCAGCAGGAGGACGAGAAGGGCCAGATGATCAGAAGGAGGAGGAGAGGAGGAGGAGGAGGAGGAGGAGGAGGAATAGGAGGAGGAGGAGGAGGAGGAGAGGAGGAGGAGGAGGAGGAGGAGGAGGAGGAGGAGGAGGAGTGACTGGGAGGAGTCGCGGTGGACACGGCCCCCCGCCGCGCCCCCGCCGGGCCTGCCCCGAGGGCAGCGCGAGCTCGTGACCCCCCCCCTTCTCACAGCGCCCGGATCCCCCGCGAGAGGCAGCGCCGACTGCACACGGAAACGAGCGTTCTAGGAAGGCGCCAACTAGACACCAACACCGATCCTGGCCAGGATCGCCCTGGGCCCAGGATCGGTGTATGCGCCCTCCTGCCCTGTGCAAGAAGGCATATACACCGATCCTGGGCCCAGGGTGATCCTGGGCCAAGGTCGGTGTTGGTGTATACTTGGTGCCCTCCGACGTCCGTAGTAGCGTCCAAAACCGGGATAGCAAAGAGACACTCACACAAACGAGCACACGCATCTCCTGAAGCGCTTCTGAAGCGCTGCCAGCGACGCTTCCGCGCGTGCCTGCACGCGTGCAGGCACGCGTGGACGCGTGCCGGAAGCGCTCCCGGACACGCTGCGAGCTTTTACAACTCGCTGCGACGATTCTGGACCGCCGTGGAGGAGCTGCTGGCAGGCACCACCACCGTCCGGCTTCTAATCTAAAACCCTATAGCTCTCAGAGAGCTCTCCGGGAACATGAAACGAGCGTCCGTGGGTTATGGTGGGGGAGCGTTCAGTGTGATGCTGTCCCTGTTGGCGCCCGCGCGTACGTCCCCCTGCACGGCTAAAACTGCCATGCCGATCCGATGGATGCCCGGCGTGTGCAGAAACACGCCACCAGTGTGATGGCGAGGCGAGACAGGCGTATGCCAGAAGCCACGCCCCACAAAGCGGAGGACAGTACGTCGTCTAATAATCCGCAGGCGCCACTGCCAATGCTCCACACTGAATGCAGAAATCATTACTTCAACCCCTGACATAATCTCGGAACCCCAAAATGTTACCCGTGATCTGTTGTCACCGTGATCGGACACCTGCCTCCTGCAACGACCACCACCAGCAATACGTGAGACGCGCCGAGAAAGACTACCACAGTATTGCAAGTTTAATGCGTTGTCAAGCTGAAATAGCGCTTGTAACAAATCCGATGCGTACTGCCTGTGAAAGGCTGGCGGCATGCGACAATGGCGATCCCATCCTACCCAACCGCAAACTCCAATCCATTCAATTTGTTAAAAGCATCAGATACTCGGTGAAATGCATCCGCTGTGCACTGACTGCAACAGCCCGCCAACATCCAGAATTGATCGAAGCGAGAGACACTCCCCCTAGCGACACGCGACTAAGAAAGGCCCCTCGCACACCGACCGCCAGGGAGGGCAACATACCCCAACTGGACATCGCACCTGCCAAACAGCAAGATTGACCCGTAGCACGTGCTGGTCCGGGACGCGACTTCTGCGACAGCCTTGCGCCCCTCAAGTCGCGAGTCGAGGTTCGGCTCGAGTCATCCCTGCTGGAGCCAAAAGGCTTGAGCAAGAATGGCTCGAGCCCAAATGGCCACGGATGCGGAGGAGAGCGAGGAAGAGGGAGAGCAGGAACGAGGACAGGCGACACCAACACCACCAGGGCGAGGAGATGCGAGGAGGCAAGGGGGGGGGCCTCACTGGTGGCACGGTCCCCCCTCTCGCTCGAGACACCCCCAGCCTCCGGCTCGGGGAGGCATCGTGCACCTCCTCGCTAGGAGGTGGCCCTCCTGGTGGTGTTGGCGCCGCGTCTCCCCCCTCCGAGAGAGGGAGAGAGGGGGAGGGCGAGAGGAGCAGCGCGAGCGAGAAGGGGGAGGGCCGGCAGGAGGAGGGCGCGGAGTGCGGGAGAGGGGCCTCCGCTGCAGAGCTCGTCGGCGCAAGCGCGGGGCCGCGCTCTCCGTCGTCGCCCGCCCACCATCATCCTCTCCCTCCGTCTCGTCGCCCTCGCGCCCTCCTCCTCCCCCCGCCTTGCTCGTCCTCCTGCTAGCCCGTCCTCCTCCTCCCCCCCCCTTCCCCCCCCCCCCCACCCCTTCTCGTACTCCGTGCTCTGGCTCCTGCTGCTCCTCATTCCCCGCGTTCTGCCCTCTGGCTCACCTTGATCCTGGCTCCTCCGTCCTGTCTCGGCATCCTGCCCTCCGTCCCTCTTGCTCACATTGGTCCTTGCTCCTCATCCTCCCTTGTGTCTCCTACCCTTCGCTCGCCCTGCCTCATAGCGTCTAACTAGAAGCAATCCAATATCGAGTTGGGCGAACTGCCCGCCGGCGCCCCCCCTTTCTCCAGCCCAGCAGCAAAGCAACCGATGCTGGAGGAGGTATGAGTAATCCTGCGTCTGCTGACTGCTGACCAGCTTCCTCATCCTTCCCTTGCTCCTCCTCTGGCCTCTTGTGCACCTCGTTCAGCTGTTCCTCCTCCTCATCCTCATCCTACTCCTGCTTCCTTTTGCCAACTCATCCAGCAGCTTCGACATCATCCTTCCTCCTCCTGAACAGCCGAGGGCCCAGCCGATGATCCCTCATGCTCCTTCTCTATATCTGGGCACGAACGAACGAGCCCCAGAGCGGGGACTTCCAGCGTCAATCACAAATCAACGAGCAAGTATTCAATCGCCGAGCCGGACGATGATGACGATGATGATAGTGATGATGGTGATGATGATGATGATGATGACGATGATGGTGGTGATGATGATGCTGATGCTGATGATGACGATGGTGATGGTACTGACACCTCCTTGCATAAACCTCGGGTACACACAACCAAGCTCTTGATACCACCCTGCAACCAACCACACCGTCCTTTTGCTGCTGCTGGTCCTCATCCTCTGGTGTTGTGCTTCCTCTCCCTCGGCCATTCCACCGCTATCCTCCCTTTCCGTCGCCATTCCTCTTGTCTTTTTCCACCATCATTGTCCAACAACCTCCGACAACCAATGTTATTCCACACGTAGAACCTCCAATATACCGTGAGACAACCAGAAACCCTCCTCCAACTTACTTATCTGCCTCAATCCTTCTGCTCTTCATCCGTCCTACCTCCTACCCTCCCTACTGCCCTCCCATGTCTCACCCTTCTTTCCTTCTTCTGCTTCCCCTCCCACACCTCCCTCTCCTACTGCACTATCCCCAATGTCCCCTTCTCCAGTCACTTCTCGTCCCACCATTACCCTCAGGGGCAACCTCCATCACCCCTCCTCCATCGTCGCCGTCGCCGTTGCCAACGCCCACCTCCTCTTTCTCTCCCTCCTATTCCTTCTCTTCCTATTCTTGTTGGAGAAGGAGAAGAGAAGGAGGCGAAAGAACCACCTCAGGAGCCGGGCGGCAGACCACGAACCACCCAAAGCGACGCTGCTCCTCGCTCCCTGGGTCGCTCACAATAGCCGGCGAACGCTTGAACCCTGGACGTTTTAAGGGGGGGGTCAAGACGAGGGGGGATAGGAGAGAGGAGAGGAGCCGGGTGCAGTAGAGCCTTGGCAGCCCCTGATAAGCAGGCACACCGTCAGATAACGCCTTCCCGCGCACCCGAGAGGCCTCAGCCTGCTCGATGTATCTCCCTCGGGAGGCTCACATTTTCCCCTGTGGCGGAGAGGGCTTGGAGGCCTTGATCTCATCCCAGCGCCGATGTGACTCCTCTGAGTCCTCGCTGGAAAGCGGCTCGTCGACGACGCCACAGATGTCACACGTGGCCTGCTGCGCCACCGTGGCGGACAGGCCGAAGGGTGCGCTGCACAAGGAGTCCCCATTCGGCACAGCTCCTCTCGGTGACCCTCCAAGTCGAGCACACGTCGACGCATGACCGTGCCGAGCGATTTGGCCAGCGACGCGTGATTAGTGGCACGCGGCGCAAGTTACAGCGCGTGCACAAAACGTCACAGCGCCGAAGCGGGGGCCGTCGGCCTCGCGGAATGCGTCAAACTAGCCTGCGGCGGACTTGGAACCCATTTTGCGCCACAGTTGAGGTCGCCAGCCAGGACAGCATGAGCACCCGGAAGAGGCCTCCCAGTCAGAACCTTGCCAAGGACAGCGTGCAGCTGGTCCCTCCGCGCCTGGTGCGTAGTACATATTACGAAGAAAGCGTTTGCATCGCCTTGGGCATGCAACTTGATGATCATAGCACGTCTCAGCACATGCTCGTCGGAAGTGATATCACAGCGGTCGCGCTTGAAGGAGATCATGTTGCCATCGTGAGTCCCAGACGTCGGCCGAGGCGAGAACGACTGGGCGACCCATGCGTAGCCAGCATCCTCCAAAGGTAGTGCCCACTCTGGGAGGGAGGCGTTCAGTCTCTTTGAACTCGCCTACAAAGGACACATCCTGCAAACAGGTAATGCTGGCGTCTGCCGTCCGCCCTGAGAACCCTCGAAAGGATCTGGCTCTGACGGTTTTCCCAATCCGGCAGATCTGGAGGACAGCGAGGGAACAAGGTGTGCTTTTGGTCAGGAACGCTGCCGGCAAGTAGGCTCAGGATGCTATAGCTCAGCGGCGGCACGTGACTGCCAGCTGCGGCCGTCACGCGGCCGAGGCGACAGCCTTCTGCAGGCGCAGGCGAGCGCGACAGACTTGCCGTGCTGGCCAGGAGGGAGGCCAGGGTGGCTGCGTAACGAGTCGAGGCGCACGGGCTTGAACGCTGCTGGGCTTGAGCGAAGGTCTAGACCAGAAGTCGTCTGGGAGCCAACTCCGCCTTGACACCCTTCTGCTCCTGCTCCTGCTCCTGCTCCTGCTCCTGCTCCTGCTCCTGCTCCTCCTCCTCCCTGTCCTCCTCCTCCTCCTCCTCCTCCTCCTCCTCCTCCTCCTCCTCCTCCTCCTCATCCTCCTCTTCCTCTTCCTCCTCCTTCTCCTCCTACTCCCCCTCCTCCTCCTCCTCCTCCTCCTCCTCCTCCTCCTCCTCCTCCTCCTACTCCCCCTCCTCCTCCTCCTACTCCTCCTCCTCATGCCATCCCCTCCTGCCTAGGCGGTGGGTGGGGGTCGGCAAGGACGGGTCGCGCTCAGGGGTCTTGGGCACTCCTTTTTCAAGATCTGAGTGCGAGCAGATCAAGATGTGAAGGAGTCCGAGTGTGAGCGAATCTGGGTGTGAGTGAGTCTTGGTATGGGTGAGTCGGAGCGCGCATTGGGGGGCACCTGGACCTCGATTGCAATGGAGACCCATGCCAAGAGACACCCTGCTTGCATCCAGGGATCCAGGGTGCCCTGGGTTTCTTGGATTTCGATGGTGTTGCTATGGAAGCCGTGACTCTCCCATGCCAGGAATCACTGCACGTCCTGAGGTCTCAGGGTTGGGTGTCGTGTGGAAGGTTTCTTGTGGTCGGGCCCCTACGTAAGCAGGTGTTGGAAATCAAGGCTCACAAGATTCCTGCAGATCTGACAGGGGGGTCTGAGCAGAGCTTCCTGGAGTTAGGTGATGATCAGGCTGGCAGGGCAGCGAGGTAGGCTGCCAACTCGCTTCCTCCACCGTGTGCTTGGTCCCCCCTGGCTGCTTGGGCAGTCCTCCTCCTCCCCCTCCCCCTCCTCCTCCTCCTCCTCCTCCTCCTCCTCCTCCCCCTCCTCCTCCTCCTCCTTCTCCTCCTCCTCCTCCTCCTCCTCCTCCTCCTCCTCCTCCCCCTCCTCCTCTTACACTTCCTCCTCCTCCTCCTCCTCCTTCTCCTCCTTCTCCTCCGCCTCCTCCTCGTCCCTCACGAATGGTTCTGGCACCGTAGCGAGCGGCACTGGAATCTACAGTGCCACAGGAAACCTTCCACGAGAAACCCAACCCTGAGACCCCAAGACGTCCATTGATTCTTGGCGCGGGAAGGTCACGGCTTCCCTAGCAACACCATCGAAACCGAAGAAACCCAGGGCACCCTGGAGGCACGCAGGGTGTTTCTTGGCATGGGTCTCCAACGATGGAATTGCAGATCTCGCGCTGGCCCAGCAGTGCAGCTCTCAAAACCGAGTGCCTAGTTTCACGGCCCCATCCTCACAGCCCTGCCCCAACCAGTGGTGTGCAGGTCGCCTCGCAGCCCCAAGGGGTCAGAATCATCTACCCAAGGTGCAAAGGGATCGACGTCCTGGTGCAGCGTGTGCCATCACAGCAGTAGGGCATCAACAGGCCGCGCAGCTGTGCACACCGGCCCGCGCCCCCGCCCCGATCGAAGGCCTACTCTGTGCTAGACTCAGGTCGGGCATGTCCTCCTACGGGCGGATTCCGGAGGAAACAATAATAAACAAACATACTCCAAAAACTGTCAAACATAGTTAAAACATAGTCACAAAACAATGTTTTGACTATCCTTGAATACTCCGCGTGTAAAGGGACAGGCCCGACTAGACCCACAGACTCGTACCTGCGAGATCGCAATGCCGCTGCAGCTAGGGCGGCTGTCAGCCCAGGGAGGGCCCGGGCTTGTCGCCGTCGCTGCCTTTCTTGGCGCTATGTGCCGACCCCCTTCCCCCTTCCCCCTCTGTCCTCCGCCCTAAGCGGGTGAAGTGATGGGCTTGGTTTCCACCACCACTACCATAGGTTGGAGGGAGAGGTCCTCCTCCTCCTCCTCTTCTTTCTCCTCCTCTTCCTTCTCCAACATATGGTAGTGGTGGTGGAAATCAGCCCCATCATGAAGCACCACACTTCCTGTTATTCGCTCGCGTGCTCGCCCCACCCGGATTCGAAGGTTCGCTCTGGCCTCACGGGGGTCCTGGGTGCACAGCTCGTGCTGTCCTCTCATGCCCCCGAGCTGCCGAATGCCCAGGACCAGCCTCGGGGATGGACAGGCCCCCCTTTCGTAAAACGTGGCTTCGTGAAGACGACCTGAGGCCCAAACCTGGCGGGCGCGAGCCTGGAAAATGCGGGAAACGGCGCCCTCTCGAGAACCGGAAACGGACAATTCACGAATCGAGGTGTCACTGTCGGGGGTTCTGTCCCCCCCCGACGGCCCCCAAACCTGGGGGGACGAGGGGGGGGGGCACGGAGCCAACAGAGGAAGAAACCGCATCAAAACCTGACTCTGTCCAGAACTCCGCGCGGACTGCCCGGATCCGCGCTCGACGCCTCCTCCGTGGCGCGCGGAGGGCGCCAGTGGGCCCCGCGGCCGAGGCGCCGCCGGGGGGGGGGGCCAGCGCAGAACCGTGGCATCCGCGGGGAGCTCCGCAAGCTCAGGCTCAGGCCGTGCTCTCCTGTGCTCTTGTGTGGCTCGCTCCTCCACGTCTGAGTGCTCTTCCCTTCCCCTCCCAGCGGCGCGGTCGCCCTCGTCGTAAGTCGGGCGTGTCCCCCTCCAGGGGGATTTCCGACGAAAAATCAAAACGACCCAAAAATGCTCAAAACTTATCAAAAAATGAAAAAAGAGTCCCTGTACTATTTTGAAATTTCCCCCTGTAGAGGGACAGGCCCGACTTAAACCTCGTCCTTTTCCCCTCTCTGGCATGCTGGCCAACTACACAGCCATCCGGCTGGCCCGAGCAGCCGCACGCCAGAGCGGACTGCCTCTGCCTCACCGCCGACGGACAAGTTTTTGCGGTTCGGCTCGGGCGCTCCACTGTTCTGTCCCTCCATCGGGGGCGCGCAGACATGGATTAGCGATCCGTGGATTTGGCGCGCGGTCCCCAGATCCATGGATCGGGGGAGGTGCCCTCCCCAGCATGCGGCTCGGGGCCGCCTCGTTCGGCGGCGGAAGTCCGCGGATTCCCCATGGAAGCGGGGCCCGTCGCTAATCCACGTCCCCCTGACCCATGTTCGCGACCGCCTGGTTCAAGCGCTCCACTTTTCTGTCCCTATGCGGTCCCTCCCCCCGCCCCCTCCGAGACGGGCGCGCGACCGCCGCCGGGCGGCGCAGAGACTGCCACCGCCAGGGGGCGTGCGTCCTCCCAAGGGGGTCCCCCCTCCCTCCCTCCCTCCACCCATCCCTCCTCCCTCCACCCATCCCTCCCCCCTCCTCCCCCCCACCCATCCCTCCCTCCCTCCTCCCTCCCTCACTCCCCTCCTCGCTCCTCCCTTCCTTCCTCCCTCCTCCCTCTTCCCCCCCCTCCCCTCCGACTCCCTCCTCCCTCCATCCCGCTCCCTTCCTCGCTCCCCTCCCTCCCTCCCTCGCCCCCTTCCCCTCTCCTCCCTCTTTCCCCCCGCCCCTCCTTCCCTCCCTCCTTCCTGACCCCCCCTCCTCGCCCCCCCCCCCCCCTTGCGCGACGGCGCGCACCAGCAGCTGAGCGGCGCAGAACCGGCCGCGCCGCTCGGCCTCTGCGCCGGGGAGGCGGAGAGGACGCCGACGCCGGCGGGCGGCGACGGCGACGGCGACGACGGCGACGGCGACGACGGCGAGGACGGCGACGTCGCCGTTCGGAGAGCTTGAGGGGCGTCTCCAGTGGCTCGCGTGGCAAGCGCGGGGCGCGGCTCGGGACACCTGGGCGAGAGAGACCACGGGAGGGGTTCGGGGGCCGGTGTTGGGCGGAGTTTCGAATGGGACGAGGATGGGACGCACAAGGCCATACTACAACCGTCGTCAAGAATAACCTCAAAATGTCTTACGTGGCTGAACTATTTAGGGGGAGATACTGGACAGAGTAGCGGTGACTGCGAGGTACTTGTATGCGCCGCCCCTCCAATGTCGGTCATCATCGAACTTCCGAGTCGTTCCTGGTCGGACCACTTTTGCCCTGGCCCCGACATTGGAGGGGCGTCTATCGACATTGAAGGGTGCGCCGACATCGCAGGGGCGTGGTCGCCACTTTCGATGTTAATTCTGACCAGGGTAGTAGTACCATAAGCCCTCCTTGGAAGCGCGCGTCCGACCCGACCATATGATGCGCCCATATTGCAGTATATCGTTGCCCGAGCCGTGTAGCCAGAACGCGCCCGCCTCGACGCATATGGGGGCGACGCAAACATAGTGTTAGTATGTGGGGGTGACGCCGAGGGGAGGGGGCGCAGGGAGGAGGAGGAGGAGGAGAAGGGAGGAATGGCAGGTGGAGCGTGGCCTGGGGGCGCACCGAGTTCTCCGAGCAGCTGTGGAAGGAGGGCGGCGGAAGGGGGGGAGAGTACGAGGGAGGAGGAGAGGGGAGGAGGAGAAGGGAGGAATGGCAGGTGGAGCGTGGCCTGGGGGCGCACGAATTTCTCCGAGCAGAAGGAGGGCGGCGTAAAGGTGGGGGGGACTACGAGGGGGGAGGAGGACGGAGGTGGGCGCAGGAGTGAGGAAGACGAGCGTTGTGGCTGCTCTTCCCAGGGGGGACAAGCAGGTGGACGACTCCAGAAACCCTGCGCCCAAAAATGTGTTCATCTCTCGGGGGCGCATATTTTACTTCCGCCGCCTTCCGCCGCCCCTCTGCCGGCTTCCGCCGCCTTCCGCCGCGGAAGAGACGGCAACTGCTTCGATCCTCGAGGGCAAGGCCCTTTTCGGCACGCCTCATGGGGGATGGGACGAGGCGGGAGAACGTCGCTGTGGTCGCTGTCGTCGCCTTCGGACAGGGGGAGAAGGGAGGGGGAGAAGGCGCGTGCAGAAGTTAGAGGAGGCCGGAGGCAGGACCGTGGGAGGAGGCAGGGGGACGCGGGGCAGGGGGGAAAAGGAGGAAAAGGGCGTAGGAGGTAGGTGGTGATTGGGAGGGGGTCGGTGTTATGTGCTACTTGTGACCAGTGTTCAAGTCTACCGTCAATGAGGGCGCACACGCTGTGGGTTGGCGGGTGTACAACGTGCAAGGTCCGCGCTGTTGGAATGCTCTGTCCTGGCTTCTCTGCTTCTGCTCGCTGTAGACAAAGAAAAAGAGGAGGACGAGAGTGAAAAGAATACTGAATTGGGGGGGGGAGGAGGGAGGGGGGGTGAGGAGTGAGGCAGAGCGGGGAGGAGGCAGGCTCTGTACTTGGATTTAGGAGGTTCAGCGGGGTGCACGCAATTTAAAGACTCCAATCGGGATCCATATCAATGAGGGGGGGAGCGCTCCTTCTCCTCCTTTTCCTCCTTCTCCACCTCCGCTTCCTCGTCCTCCTACTCCCCTCGTCCTGGCCTCCTCCTGCTTTTCTGGCCATTCGTCCTCCTCCTTCTCCTCCTCCTCCTCCTCCTCTTGATGCTCCTCCTCGCCATCTTCCTCGTCAGTCTGATCATGCCCATGGCGGACACATGGATGTCTAAAACTCTGAACGGAGCCTCCAAATGCTGTCTGCGGCCTGCGAAAACCAGATTCGCCAGAATTGAATGCTTTTCACTACCAGCGATCAGCCATCCAGGCCAGTACAGGGTGTCGAACTCGCAGAATGCCTTATTCTGAGTCATGCATTCGGCCCTGGCCAATGTTGGAAACGATGCGCAGCAGCGGTTGACAAACATGTCGGAAGCTGGTCGTCAATGTCCAGGGCTACCCTTGGACAATGGTTCGAAGCCGCGGGTGGCAAATTCAATCAGTGTGTCGTAAGTGCTAACGTTGCGCCGCCACTGTGCAATAGGCTGGGGCCGAATTGGCGTGAGCCAGGGCACTCTAATCCGCCAGCCCAACGGGCCAGAGGCGTGCTAGAATGTACAGTGACAAGTTTAGAACACTTCTGGTTCGCGCGCGCGGGCCGTCCCGAGAACTGTCCAAATCCCAACTAGACGGTTCCGATCCCAACTACACGGTCAAGATGCCATGCAGCGAAATCGCTGGAACGGCCTAAATCCCATCAAGACTGTCTCAATTCCAAGCACTAGTCAAAGTGGAACAGCTTCCACGCACTTGAAGCCCTTGACAGGCGTTACATAGGCGCGTGATTGGCGGGCGCCACATAGGCGTTTGATAAGCGCTAAATGGATGTTTCCTTGAAGGCGCCTTTTCGGCTTCGTGAAAAGTCCGAGTGGGTTGAGACTTAACGAAAGATTTGTGAAGACTCCTGAAAGGCCCCAAGAGGCCCCAGGAGGCCCCAAGGACCTCCCCAGCGGCCCAAACGCGGCCCCCCGAAGGCTTCAGACCTGCCTCCAGGAGGCCACCCACATGCCTCGACGAGATCACGACGAACATCCGAGGTCTCAGACCCACCACCCAGGAACGGTGGCGGGATGGGCCGAAGGCCACTGGATGTGGGCCGGCGGAATGCGCGAAACGCTCCGCCGCCCCATCGGGTACCGCGTGTGAGATCCACAGCATGGAATTCCAGGTCTGCTCTCACCAGCGCGCTTTTCATTCGGGAGCGGCCAAAAGGGGGGTGTCCAAGAAGGGGGCGTGCAAACCATGACCGGCGGCATGTGCGCGGCCCAGCGGGGGGGCCAGGGACGCAATGAAATAGGAAGAGGCGCCATGAAATCTGGGGAAGCATCATGGCCCCCGCCATGATATCCCCCCCCCCTAGTCATCACCCCCCAGCCTCTGCCGGTACTTCGCCACCGGGTTCCTGTACAAAGCGTTCCTGTGCAAGCACGTCGTTTTCGGCACCGCCTGACCCCGAGGCGTTGCCTCCTCCTGGCCTCGCCGTGAGGCTGCGCTCCTCCCCTCCCCCCCTCTTTGTTGATTCAAGCTTCGCGCGGCCCGCTCAGCTTCGACCGGAAGAGGTGCGCTCTCGACCCGCGAATCAAAAAAGTCATCACCCCCGATCTTTGCCGCCCCCGATTCTTGGGTGTCCCAAAACCGTGTGGTGACAGACCGGGCGGTGACCTCGAAATCCGCAAACACCTCACCGCACGGTCCGTCACCACACGGTTTTGGGACCCTGGAGGCTCCAGTCGCCCGAGACATCCTCGGAGAACGACTCAAGTCCCAAAACCGTGCGGTGACCCCGAATCCCCACCGACTCACAACACGGTGTGGTCACCACCCCGTTTGGGAGCCCCCGAGGATTCATACCCCTCCCAAGGTTCTCCCCGGAACCCGCTCGCTCCCGCCGGCCCGAATAAGGCCCCGGCTGCGCCCCCGGGGCGCTTTTGCCGACCACCACGTCTGCTACAAAAAAAAGGCCCCCCTTTCTCTGCGGGCGACGACCTGTATAAAGTAAACTTTTCTGTAGGGGGCGCCTGTCCCAGGGCGGCTGGAAAGTCTATACCCTTACGGTGCCACGTAGGGGTATACATTTTCCAGTCGCCCAGGGGCAGGCGTCCCCGACGACGCACAAGTTCATGTTATACCGTTCTTTGCCTCCTAACTTTCACGTGCTGGGTTCCTGGGCGCCGCCAGGTCCTCTCCGAGACCTCTCCGGGAGCCTTCTGAGCCGATTCCGGGAACCTCCCCGGGCTCTCCTCGGCGGATCTGGACCGTCCTTCGGGCCACCTTCGGCCGTTGCGGATGCCTCTCCGCCTCACTTCCAGCCTCCGATGCCCACACATCCCAGCAAACGCACAGACATGGCAACACACCCTGGAGATCTGACCGACTCTGGCCACGCCGGGCTTCTCCTTCCGCTTCTCTTGGAGCTCCCGTGCGTCTCCGTGGGCGCCTGCCTTCGGGCCTGCGGATGCTCTCTGAAGCCGTCCTGGCGACCTCATACGGCGCCATATTCGGCCGCCTGGGGGTCTTCTTGGGGCCTTCTTCGCCCGTCTCGGGCAGCTCCCGAGAGCCCACTGGGGGCCCTTTCAAGATCCAGCAACAAACCTGAATCGTTCCCCCCCGGTTCTGGACGAGCAATAACAAGTAGCAAAAGAAGACTCCCAAATGGCCAAACATAATCAAACATGATCGACCGACGAACCCGGAAATGAATATAGAAATGTGAGACATGGCAACGTTTCAAAGACACCTGATTGGGCGTCGGGGAAATGCGATGCTGAGTGTATCGATCCTGATGCACCGTGCCGAGGGCTGTGCTGTGCAGTGCCGTGCTGAACTGCGATGTGCCATGCCGCGATCGTGCTCTACAGCGTTGTGGATCGAGTCCTCCTTTGCATCCGAGTCCTGACCGAACTGATCTGGTTCTCAAGCTCGAGCTGCCTGAGCACATAACTAGTAGCTGCCCCAGAGCTGATTGACAGGGGAACATGCCAGGAGGACGCGCCGCGGAACGTCCAAAGGCACGCGCCAAACGACGTGCCAGGGAACGTGTCACGGGGACGCACAGCGGGACGTGCCGAGGGGACGCGCTACGGAACGTGCCAATGGACGTGCCACGGGACGTGCCAGGGGACGCGCCGCGCGACGTGCCAGGGGGACTCGCCACAGGACGCGCCACGGAACGTGCCAAGGGACGTGCCAAATTGCAATGCTGAATGTATCGATCTTGATGTACCGTGCCGAAGGCAATGCTGTGCTGCGCCGTGCTGAACTGCGATGTGCCATGCCGCGATCGTGCTCT